GGATTAGATGAGGGTGGTCCTTCCAGAAAATATCTTTAATGATACTTCCATCAGGATGAGGGCAGAGCAAGGCAGATGGCCCAGAGCAGAGAAAGCATTTCTTAGACAGAACTTCCAAGGCCTGGTTATAAACTGTGATCTTGTTGGTCAGTATGAAGCAGTAGCCATAGCATCCTTGGCAGTACTTGCAGCTGGAGTCCCATGGTTTTCTTCCTGAACTCTCATAAGCAGGGTTGTGGGTTGGGAGACTGAGGAGGTGAGGATAGACTAGGGACACCTGTACACACACCTGGTCATCCTGGACTAACATTGCTGTTGTGAGAAAGGCCAAGCTCCTTTCTCCATTCTAGGTCCTGATGTTCTGACTTGAGACTGTGTCCTGACTAATCTCCATGTCTCATCTAGGCTCAGGTGAGAGACTGGGTATGTAACAACTGTAAGTCAGCTTTCTGTTACTATAACAAATGCCTGAGACAGTCAACTTATAAAGACAACGGGTTTATTTTAGCTCACAATTTTGGAGGTTCCAGTCCATGATCAGACAGATTTATTTAGTTTTAGGCTACTGGCGAGGCAAGGGAGGACAGCATGGCATTGCAGGAGGACAAAGCACAGAGAAACCATTCACTTTATGACTGAGATTTGTAAAAAAGAAGAGAGATGGGGCCAAGGTCTCAACTTCTCTTTCAGGGACACACCTCCAATAACCACAAGACTACGCATTAGGCCCCAGCTCTTAAAGCTTCTACCACCTCCCAATAAGACCAACCTGTGGACTAAGGCATTAATATATGGGTCCACAGGGGAAACTTCAAACTATAGCAAGTTGTTATCTGCTGGTGCAGTTTGCCTTTGATAAAAGCAAGTCATCCTTGAGTCAGCTTGTTTGGTGATATGCTTTCCAGCACCTTAGGCCATTCAAGTCAATCAAGGCCACAGGTCCCTATCTCCTTCTTCAACTCCGTATTTACGCACATTTGCTTAACCCATGGCAACACTTTGGGTAAGAATGGGATGTCAATATTGTTAAAATTTTTGTGTCCTGATCATGTGAGTATAGATGTTCTGTTTTCTGAACACATTAGCTGGCTTTCTGTTTCCGTGAATTGCCAGTGCAGTCCTTAGGTTATTATTCTGGTAGTGTCTTTATTGATTGGTAAACATTTTATATGTTCTCATCATTAATCTTTGGTTGACTATAAATTTTGAAAATATTGTTCACCTAACTTCGTAATCTATTATTTTGCTTTTTCCTTTTACAATATTTGTGTTTTAAAAGGTCTAATTTCACCCAGCATTATAAATATATTTCTTTCTAATAGTTATTCATATGTTAACTTGTTTAATATTTGACACTTTAATAATTCCAGGACTCAGTTTTGTAAATGGTGTTAGGTAGGAACTAGGATTAGCCAGTTGCTCCTGTGTCATTTGCTCAATTGACTTGAAATGCATGCAGTCATGGGGCATACTCTGATGTGTATTTTTATACATATATACGTAGGTATGCATAACATGCACACAACTACAAATCTCTGTATCTGGCTTTAATCCACATAATTTTAATGAAAGCATATATCAAGAGAGGGTGAAGAGGATACTATGCATTTGGTGCCATATTTGAGATCTTTGTACTGATTAATAGCCACATAATAAATTTTTTCTAAGTCTGTATTGCTTAGAACATATGTTATTATGTTAAACTTCTGGGCTATCCACCGTTGCAAGGCCAACATTTTGGGGACAAGAGGTAGCAGAAAGGAATTTTTTTACAAGGGCTGGCAATATTGAGAAGGGTGGGGCTACTTACTCAAGAGCCATCTTGTGGAGCTCCGGGGTGGAAAGGGCATTAATAGAGAGGGACAGAAGGTATGGGAGACAATGAGAAGAAAGACTAAGTGCTGAGCGGGTTTGCTTGTCCTGGATATACACCTCCTTTTTTCTCTTTTCTGGAACAACAGAACATTGCAGTGGATCTCAACCTCTTGGGGTCAGCTTCTGTAGTTCTTGTAGTTAGTTATATTCATAGAACTGAAGAATAATGAAGGATTTAGCAGTTTACATAGTAACCATCTAGGTGGTGTTTCTGTTCAGGGAAAGGATTAAAGAGGGCTAGTGATCTTGCCGAACTCTGCCAAGGACAGCTCACCAGAAGAGGTGTTCTCTTTTCTTGTATTGAAGTGTCACCTGGGGTCCTTGCTTCTGGATAATCTTACTATCTAGTGAGTGGGTAGACAGGACATTTTCAAACCTGAGAGAATTATTGATAATTAAATTAACAACTATAATCCTGGATTGTATCCTGGAATAGTGAAACACAAGAACCAGTATTGTTCAAATACATCCTGTAATTTAGTTAACAGGATGGCGACAGTGTGAGTGGCTTTGGTGTGGAAACTCTACATAATTGTGGAAGATGACCACCTTAGGGGAAGCTGGATGAAGAGTCTGTGGGAAGCTCTCATACTATTTTTGCAAATTTTTTAGTCAATCACAAATTATTCAAAGATAAAACTCTCATTTAAACATGTTTAAATTAGTACAAAGTTAATGTTACAGTAGATACACAGTGAGGAACTCCTCTTGGGGAGCATGTGGCTGTGTCTCAGGAGGGGGAGCATTTGAAGTGTGTGCTTCAGAGAGTCTCATCACCAGCTTGGTTCTCTTAACATTGAACAGTGAGTGCACGATGATCTGATCTCAGAAGCCTCTTCCATACTTCAGAGATAAGGTTATTCGCTCTGTTCAGAAGTCCCAGAATCAGAATTCTTCATGTGTCTGCAGATTTCACACTCAATAGATGTTTAATGAGTTCTGCCTCCAAGCAGGCATCAGTCGTCAAGTTGCAAGGCTGAAAGAGCAAGGAGTTTAAATCAGAAGAAAATTGTTTAAAACTGTAAGTCAACAAACTGACCAGCCATTGTCTTTTGGCACTTAAATTCCTGGAGTCTCAGTTTGTTCATCTGTAAAATGGGGATTGAATATTGGTTACTTCCGGGGCTGCTGTGACAACTGAATGTGGAAATGTCTACAAAAAACCCTTCCTCTCAGGGCCTGGCATGTTGTCAGTGCTCAATGAACACAGTTCCTTTGCTTCCTTCTCCCGCCCTTGTTGAATTTTAGCTCCCATTCAGATAAACTCAGCCATGCAGAAATGCTGGTTAAGAGCCAAAATCTCATTTAGAGTTCCTCTTTGTCATCTTCCAAACTGTCATACTGCTCAGTGCTTATGTATCTTTCCCAGTGCTGTGAACAATAAAACAGGCGATATGTTCTTGCAGTAATGTGAAATATGATTTTTTTTTCCAGGATGATATTGCATGGGAGGACATCAGAATTGAAAGGAATTTTTAGTAGGCTCACTGTCATAAAGAGGATAACAGGAAATAAGACAAATAAGATTTGGGCAGTACACCAGCAGTGTCAAATTTCTTAAAAAGCAGGTCCTCAGTCCTGGCATAGGGTTGAAGATCAGGCTCACTCTGGGTAAAAGAAGAGCTTTGGCAAGTGCCCCATATCACAAAGCCAGGGAGGGAGGCACCATACCAGCCTGCAAAAGGTGTCTCCTGGAGCTGTGGAATGTGCCATCTCCAGGGGACGCTAGGAGGTGCCAAGGCTGCATTCTGATTCCATGGAGAACAAACCCAGACTGAATTATTTAATTCCCCTGAATTCAACCTCTCTGCCTCTGAAGTGGGGGCAACACTAAACAAATCATTAGGATCTTTAGCATTCAATGCAATATAAGTTTTTAAATGAACTTTCAATAAAATTAGAGCCCAGGGGCTTCCTGACCTTCTTTTCAGGCCAAACGCTCCACACAGGGGTGTAGGTTTTATGATTTCATTTCATAACTTGCCTATACCTCTTGGAGAGTTGATTATGTATAATGTATTGCATCATTTAAAGAAACCGAAGGCAACCACTTTGAAAGCAAGTTTCTGTTAAGAAATTTATTGGATGGGGAAAAAAATCCAGCACATTATCAATTAGCAGATGGAGACAACAAAAAGACAACGAATCGTTAGGCAACATCGAACTCCCAGACCTCCTCTGTTCATACCTAGGGGTGCCGGACCACAGATGGGACTCTTGTGCCCGCTTCTTGCACCACTGCACGTGCTGCCCTTCAGCCTCCTGCCCTTCTCCCAGTCTGCTCCTGGAACTCTGGCCTGGAATAGCTGTGGGACGCTCTTTTCACAGGAAGTTCTCGCTTGAATTATTTTCCCTCTTAATTTTTCCATCTAAGAAGGGGCAACGCACCATCTCCTCTAAACTTCTTTCTGCCTTCAAAACTTCCAAATTACCTCTTGCTATACTGTTTGTTCCTGTCTTACATGGTTTGTTAACCAGCACCAGTCATTAAACACATGCTTATCTACTCCTCTTCTGCCTTGAAGTGCTTATGCTCAGTTCTTCTATCCCTAAAATGGGGATAATTCCTAACTCACAAGGGCATTGTGACAATCTGAGGAGGAGGCTAATGAGATCACATTCAGCCTCTGGATCAGAATTAGAGGAGACAGAATGGACTCTAGTCCCAGGCTGCCTTGGCTCTGTGGCATGAGAAGGCCATTTTGCCTTTGAGGACTTCAGTATTCCCAGCCAGTGTGCACATCCTACTGCCCATTTGTGAAGCTGAGAGTGGAAATGGAAGCAGAAGCTTTGAGCATGTGAAAAGCATCCTTGAAGTTCCAGTGCAGGTTGCGACTGTCCTCAGTCTTAGAGCATCAGTCCCTGCAGCTTTGGTATGGCCGGGTGCCACTGGGGCTCCTCGTGGCTTCTGGAGTCATGGAGTGTGATGGTGGCGGTGTTAGGAGGCCCAGCTTCAGCCGATCCACATTCATGTGCCTTCTCTGCTGCTTGCTGTGTGGCTTCCAGGCAATGGCTGAGCTCATCAGCCTGGAAGCCGACTAGACAAAAGCGCGCTCAGTGGGATCTGGCATCTGTGGACCAAGGGTCACAGGAAGTCATGGCCTCTTTCTTTTGCTTCCTCTCAGAGCCAAGGGCAGCTCCTCCGACTCCTATTGCTGGTCCCTGGTCCCTGCAGCTGGAGAATTCTCCGTACATCACGGCTGTGACACTTGACACGACTTGCAACATATGGAAATCAGCTTCTGCCTGCCTGTGAGTGCTTTTCAGTTTCCAAGCCCCAGAAGGTGTCCGAGTGCAGACAGGTCTCTCTCTGGCCCCAGAGAACAGATTGTGTTCACAGCACAGGTCTCAAGTAACTTGTCAAACTCAGCAAAGGGAGGGCAGCAAGGAGTGCCTGGGACTTGTGGCCTTAGGAAGTAGAAGATTCACAAGGTGCCTTCAGGGTGAGATGGAGCCAGCCACCCTTTCAACCCTCAGATTACTGCCTGCAGGACTCCTTGCTAATTAGGCTGCCTTCCTGGTGGCTTGTCAGATTTTTGTGATCTATTTGTTCCACGTGGGCCAAGTTTTTGCCGCATGACCTTGGACAAGTGACCTACCCACCCCTCACTACCATACTATCACCTGCAAAAAAGAAGGAAATAATGCCTCACTGAGTTCTTAGGGAGATGAGAGCTGGTGCATGCTTTAGGGGAGGAAAACTCATTTTTGTCCTTAACCCTCCTAACAAAAGACAAATTAACAAGAGAAAAACAGACAGATATTTAATAACATATGTGCATTTGGTATACCAGGCAGATAATAAAATGAAACAAATAAATCTTGAGTAGATCTCAAAATGTTGTCTAAGATGGCTTTAATACCATTTTTCTGTGCAATAAACAAAGAAATGTGGAAGAAAGGCCAGATTAAGCAAAAGATGGTCAGGAAAAGTACCACTGAAAAAAAGTGGTCTGCTGTACAGATTTAAGTGTTGTCTTCTGCATCGGTTAACAGTCTCTAGTGATGTGATCATCCTCTTCCTGGTACAGAGAAGGCCACACTCTTACAGAGGGAGGTTTACTTTATAAACAAAAATGTAAGTTTTTCTTACAAAAGAGTAACTGCTCAGGGCTTCTCGTGTGTCTTCAGAGCCTCAAAAGTAACAGCACAAAATACTTTGCATGCCACAGAGGTATGCCTGGAGGTGGCCTGGTTTGATCACTGACAGTCATATTTTGAGGTAGCGTCTTGAACCCCATTAATTCCTAGAAGGCTGCTGCAGACCCAGAATATTGGAGCTGTTGCTTTGTAGGATTGTTGCATTTCCAGTGCATGTTGCCTACCTTTTAGGGCACAGTGTGGACATTTGATGATGTTTAGTACAAATTCTAAAATCTTAGAATGGGAAGCTGGTTGTAGCAGTAAGCTGAAATCTCTACTCTTTTACAATTTGAGATTTCATTTTCCCATTTTTAAGATTCATGGCATTAAAAAAATTCATTTCCTACCCCTTCCATCTGAGGTAATACTGCATCTGTTTACTAAGTGAGCTCTTGAAGGCAGCCTGTTCTTCCTTTCTCATCTCATGGTCCACTTATTACACACTCACCCCGGTCCACGAGGCCTGGTTTTTCTGCAGAGTGCAAGGCAGGGGGCCTAATAACCAGTCACCAATGCTGTGATCTTGCCTTTGATATCTGAGGTCAGCACACATTTTGCATATTTAAAATGTTTTTCCTAACTTGATACTCATAATAAAAGAAGAAGCAAATCACACCCTCATTAGTTTCAAAGAGAAATACTTATGTTTGTTTTCTTGCCCCTTTTTCTCTTTCTTGCATTGGCAGGAGATTTAGTTTTGCTTAAAGGAAACACAGATGATGCTAATGAGACTGCAGTGTCTTAATTTACATATTAGATGAGATAAATATTGAGCTAATTAACACCTAGGATGAATTTTTCTTGCTTGGTACAATTGTTTTGTGGTGATAGTAGTTCCCTGCTACTTACCTAAGGGCAGAACAATTTGAAGGAAGACTTATTTCCCTGCAAACACTTAAGGTCAACCAAAAATTCTTCTTGGGCAGTATTATCCAGGGTACTTACTTTGTCTTTTTTTATCTTATTTTTTTTTGAGATTTTGGGGATTGAACCAAGGATCTTGTGCATACTAGGCAAATACTCTTATCCTGAGCTACACCCTTGGGTCTTTTTAATTTATTTTCTGATAGGATCTCACTGAATTGCCTAGGGTGACCTTAAGTTTGTGATTCTCCTTTCTCAGCCTCCCAAGTAGGAAGATTCTTATTTTAATTTATAATCAATTAAAAATCTTCGGAGACCAGCCCTGATCCTATGGGCAGGTGACACCAACAGAAGATCTATAGAAAAAGCAAAGTAGAATGTGGGGTTGAATTGGGGATGCTGTCTCTTCTCGGATTCTTGAACACAGTCCAGAAAGGATAATCTAGTATGAAACAGGACATGTTAGATAATACTAAAGAAAATATACTCAATGATACTTGTTCAATATCAACAAAGCAAACTTTATTTAGGACAATCATGATAGCCATAAGGGTCATTGCAATGGGGGAAAAGGATTGGGTTCAACTCAGAACACAGCATGGGCAAGAAAGAACTTACAGCCAAAGAGTAGACAGTGAATGGAAATTGCTGTTTTAGCCAGTTTTTATCCCTTGTGACAAAATACTTGAGGTAAATCTACTTAAAGAAGAAAGGTTTATTTTGGCTCACAGTTTTGGTAGTTAGAAGCAATGGAGGTGATGGAGTCAGTCCCTTCCCTCTGTTTAATTCTAAACAATACTCTATAGCTTGTGTCTACATGTTTCCCCAAAACCTCAGGCAGTCATAGGTGGGGCATTTTCAAAGGTGGCTAGGTCTAGAATGTATGATGCTAGAATTGATTCACTGTGCAATGCTTGGATCAAGGGCACTAGGATTGAGGGCATGAGTGTTACCGGTCCTAAGTAACCTGGCTAAGATATAAGGGATAGAAAGTGCTGTGGTCATCTTTTGTTGTTTTGCTACCTTCTGCCCTCCATGAGCTGTTTCTCCTCTGTGATGCTGCCCTGTCCTAGAGCCAGCAAAGTACTGACTGAAACTTCAACAGACTGTGAGCTAACTAAAACTTTCTTCCTTTAACTTTGAGTGCTGAGTATTTTGTCTCAATAATGAGAAAAGTAATGAAGACAAATACCTATGGCTATTCCTTCTTCCCTTTTCCTAAAAAGGGTAGAAAATAAAATAACAAAAACCTAGATCTCTGATGGAAGATCGTGCAAATGGTATCTTCTAATTTGACCTTTGATCACTATTATCCTACTCCCATGTCATAAATATAATAAAGATCACAGTGAATTCTGGGACCAGCATGCCTGCTGAGAGCCCCTCAAAAGACTCAGTACACTGTCAATCATCCCCATTAGTCTCGCCTAGAGATTCATTTGGAGGTAGAGGTGCCTGGTCTTTAAATTCTGAAAGCCTGATTGATTCAGGGTTTTTCATGCTCTGTTGCTGTTTCTACTTTTGTGTGCAATACTCTTCTCTGACCCTGGCACCCTTCTTAGTCTGTGCTGTATCTTTTTTGGCACAGATTTGCCCTGAGCACAACTTCCTGTGATCCTCAACAAGTGTAGCTGTTTACTACTTACTCCTGGGTGTCCACCTGAAAGTTCTTCCTTTGTCATACACAAGAGCCTGGACTATTATATTGGCCCATTCCACAGCAACAGTTTCAGAGGTTTTGGTCCATGATCAGCCTAGTGGCTTTTGGGCCTATGGTGGTTGGGGCAACAAATCATGGTGGAGGTAGCGTGTGACTCAGGATGTTGCTCATCTCACGGTAGCCAGGAAGCAAAGGGAGAGGAGAGAGAGAGAGAACTCACTTTTATAACAAAATTTCTTCCTCCAAATTATCAAGCCAGAAATTCATCAATGGATCAATCCATTCACAAAGTCAAGGTCCTCATGAATGATCCATTTACCTCCCAAAGGCACTGCCCCTGAACACTGTTGCACTAGGCACCAAGCTTTCAATATAGGAGTCTGGGGGGACATGGAGGATCTAAACCATAACAATTACCTATTGGCACATAGGTAAGAGGGATTCAGGCTCACATAACCAAGCACAATTCCTGTTGAAAGCCAGAGTGATTAGACATCACCAATGTGATGGTGGAGGGTGAGGAACCGGATCAGCTATAGAAGAAAATCAGATACCAAGGATCAGTGGCTCTTGCTAAACTGGCTTAGAAGAGGTTTTTCTGATTTTTGCTAAAACTAGATTTCACAAGAAAATGTATGGATGGGGCTAGGAGAAGGTCTGGGAGCCTGGTTAACATTTGGCCAAGCCAATAATCCTATCAATAATGAAAACACAGTGTCCGTTTTTTAAAAGTTTAATTCAGTTGATTTCAAAATGGCGATACTACAATATTTCTATGGCTTGTAACTAGATATTCCCCCAAAGCCTCATGTGGTCATAGGTGGGGCTTTTTGGAGGTGGTGTGTGATAACAGAATTAAGGATGTGGTGTTGGTATTAATGGCACAAAGCTAGGATTAAGGGTGCCCCACCGTGGGTGTGAGTGCTACCTGGATAGAATATAAGGGACAGAAAGAGGTCTGTTGCCCTCACTTGCTGCTTGTTACTTCACTGCTTTGCTGCATTCCTCCCTTCTTCCAGCCATGAACAATTTCTTCTCTGCTATGACCCTCTACCGTGGCATCCTGCTTTGGAACCAGGCAACTATGAACTGAACCTCTACAAACTGTGAGCCAAAATAAAACTTTCCTCCTTTAACTTTGGGCTTTGGGTGTTTTGTCTCAGCAATGAGAAAAATAAGACAAAAATGAAACCAAGTTTGGAGGTCTTGAGGGCAGGACCCTCTTTGCCTGCACAGGCTATATGCCCATAAACCTGAACCTGACTAGTGCACTGTAAGCTTTGTAGAGAAAAAAGGGGAAACAATTCTAAAAGGAAGTACTATTTCCTGTCTAGCTCATTTCAGTGAACTAAGTGAAAGTAAATGAATTTAAATGAACTTATATGAACAAACCTAGTGCTCAGCATCAGGCTTGCTGTGGCTGTACTGCCAGCTCTCCCTCTCCTCCAAAGCCGAGGAGGCCAAGTCTGTGATTTTGCTGACTAGGGTACTTCATTCCCTCTTCTCCTCCCAATTCAGAACTGCTTCCCCACCTTCAACAGCGCTTGCTCAACTTTCAACTTCCTAGTATTAAGCTTTGCTCTGCCTTTTGTATTTTAATTGCTTTCTCTCTTGCTTTTAATGAGCAATCAGGGCTATTTCTTTATTGAGGACCTGCGTGCAAATTTCAAGCAGAGTGTTTGCATATAAGGAAGGAACAGGTGAATTCACATGCTATGGCTCGATTAGCGTGGGGAGGCCCAGAATAGCCATCTATCTAAGGGAAAATGCCCACTTAACTTGCAGCCTTAATTCAAAGGAAATGTCAAGTGCTTGACTGCATGCTCTGTGGCAATTGAAGAGAAGATTGGAAGGAAGGTTAGACAAAATAACTGAGACGACAGTCACTACAGGGAAATTAGCTTAGGTAGGTGTATGTGCCTGTGTGTGTGCGTGTGTGCATGTGTGTTAAATGTCTGGCATTGTCCATCAGAATTAAGTCCCTAGCAAAAAGTAGGCAGGCAATACCGGCAGTATTAGGGATGAAATTAGAAGAATCCATAAACTCATCCTTATGGAATAAGGAGTTATATTAGTGCAGGGCAAACTACATTGTAGACTTCCCTGAAAGGAATGGTTCTTTCTGACCCAAATCTTGTTTCCTTTGGTTGATTTCTAATGATGTTGCCAGCAGGATGCTTGTTTCTTCGAATTTCTATATTTTTACACAATCACCCTAGTGCCCCACACTCAGTTTGTTGCCAATACTTGCATGTTGATTGACTGACAGAGACTTTGGGAGCCATGCGATGAATTTCCTCCCTGAAGGACAGGAAGCTGCATGCCTTCAATTAGTACTTTTCCTCTCGACTGGAGCTCTTCAGTGTGACAAAGGCATCCGATTACAAAGGGATGCGAGGAATTGTCCTAGTGGTAGCACAGATGTCACACATGTCCCAAGCTCTCAGAGACAGCTGAGCTCAATGATAGCAAATGTGGCTATGTGCCTGTGCCATTTTTATGGGGCTCCCCTGTGCCCTGAAGGGCAAACTTTCTGATTTAGAGCTGTAACAGCTACTGCCCCAAATGGCCAATTTGAGGAGTCAGGTCAAATTGAGCAAGTATTTTGTATGAGTTAATTAAAAAAACACACCAAATCATCAAAGTGGCAATTATAATACTTTATAAATGGAGGTCCCTATTCTCACCACCCTAAAGCTGTGGAAAAACAATTTGCTTCCTTCAAAAGAGAAGACTGGATATTTAGAAGTCTGAGTAGTCCATTATGTCAACTGCAAATGTGGGTCTGAACATGTCTCAAGGATTTGTGTGTGCGCTTGTGTCGGCTTAGCTGTTTCCATTGTGGTCCACTCTTTGTCAGTCTGAGCATGTTTACCCCAGACAAATGCATCTCAGATGCAACTAGGAACTGTTATTGTCTGGATCTTCTTGGGATACCATCACAAAATACCCTGGACTGGGCAGTTTAAACAGCAAAAAGTATTATCTCTGAATCTTGGTGGCTGGCAATTGGAGATCAAGGTTTGATCAGGGCTGTTTTTTTCTGAGGTCTCTCCCTTTGGTTTGAATGTGGCTTCTTCTCTCTGTGTCCTCACATAATTGTGCCTCATTCTATGAAAATCTATTTCCTAATTTCAGAAGTCTACCAGTGGGATTTGATAAAGATATATGCAAGAAGCTTATTTTGACTTGATTACCTCTTTGAAGGCCCTATCCCCAAATATAAATGTAGCCACATTCCGAGGTACTGAGGATTAAGGAATTCAACATATGAGATTAACCTATAACAGTGAAAAGCAGCCAGGTGCAGTGGCACATAGCAATAATGTTAGCACTCTAGGAGGCTGAGGCAGGAAGATTGAAAGTCTAAGCACAGCTTGGAAGACTTAGTGATTTAGTAAGACCGTGTCTCAAATTAAGAAAAAAAAATTAAAAAGGGCTGGGAATGTACCTCAGTGGGAATGCCCTGGCTTCAATCCCCATACCACCAAACCAAACCAAACCAAACCAAACCAAATGGAATCATTTCTGTTCACATTTCCAAGTGCATTTTGTCCAAAATTGGAGATTAAATGCTCTAGTCCTACTGGATACAAGTTCATCTGTTTAGCACTTGAAGCCAGTACTTGGGAGGTGAGGTGGAGCTAATCTAAAATGAGGTGATGTAAGACACAATGCATTGCCATTACTGCTGCTGAGCTTAGAAGAAAGAGAGGGAGGCCTGTTTTTTCCCCCATTCCTTTAATTCATTCCTTCTACTCCTCCTAGAAGGGCCAACCCTACAGGGCCAGGCACTAGAGGACATGCCCTCCACACGCCCTTGGTCTCTCTGTCCCTCCTACCAGCACAGATGCTCACAGACTATCTCTGAATTACACTGTGTTGTTAATAGTGTTGTCACTAGGGTTTGCTCATGTCACCAGACTGAGGCAATGGGGAGAGAGGTGAAAAATAAAAGCTACTCAAAGTTTTGTTTTGTAATTTTGGCCCTTGATCCATCCCTCCTTCTGTCTGGCTCTTACTGCCTCTCTTAAAGGTTGTATTAATCGGTTTTTCATTACTTTAAGGAGATAGCTGAAACAGGCTATTAGGAAGAAAAGAGGTTTATTAAGCACAGAATTCAGGAGACTGAGATTCCAAGTAGCACACAAAGATTATAGGGGAGGGAGTGGGACCCCTGGGCTGCTATCACCTCAGGGCATGGACAGCAATGGGAGGAACCCAAGCGGGGCAGGAAGTGATTACATCTCAAACCAGCAACGCAGAGAGCTTGGCAGGCCATGGCCGTCATGTCAGGGGAGGACTCAGAGAGAAAGTAGTGATTAGCTGGGCCTGGAAAAATTAAAGATTCTTTCCTAACAAGCCTCCTGTGAAGGGGTTGCATGAGAAGTGCTTTCTGATACCATGTCCTCAATGACCTAAGGACCTCCCAGTAGGACCCGCCTCTTAAAATGTAGCTGCCTTTCCATTCTGGCAACCTGAGGACCAAGCTTTTAAGATATGAACTTTTGAGGGGGCATAAAGCAATGTGCAAAATATAAGAAAGGTACAGCTTCTGTGATCGGAGAGGACTCCGATAAGCAGGGAAAGACAGGCAGGAAGCAGAACTGGAGCCCAGGCATAGGCTGCCTGCATTGCTCTTCCTAGCCCTGACCAATCTTTGTTGTCAGACAGCTTGTTGGGCTCAAATCACCACCTGTTTCCTCCAGTAGTTCTAGGGCCATGTCAAGCTTTTCCACTGCTATTTTCTGGTAGGTAAGAGATGAGGCCTGACTCGTCCCTGCACCCTATTCCCTCAGTGACCTCCAACTAGTCCAGTTGGTCTGGCATCTGGGTTGTGTGCAAGAGGAAGCAATGCCCTACTTCTGAAAGTCACTCAGCCTGTTACTCCTTGCCCTCTGTGGCTCAAAATAACTATTCTCAGGGGTTATTTCCTGCTTAGATTTTCTTTTTCCAGAGAGAGTGATAGTTCATGCTTAACATCACTCCTAAGAAAAAATCTCCACCCGAGGAAATGTCAGAAATGCAAGCTCATGCAAGAGCATCTCTCTTCCCATTTGACTTCAATGGTACTCTCCTTGCAGAGCCACAGAATCCCTTGCAAGACACCCACCCTGACCACTCTAAATCATGCCAGTCTGAGTGCCACATAGCTCTTCATCAGTTCCGAGGGACACTTGCTTCACTGTGCAGAGAGCTTTAAGGCAGAACCTCTGGCCAGAAACCTGACCTTCAGAAGCCAGCATGGGGCTTAGGTACACATGGTCACTCCACAAATACTTGCCAAATGAGCAAGGTAAAAACGAATGTCTAATAACAAACCTTCTCCACCCCTAATTCCAACCTGCTCAGGTGTGATCATTTTAGGGAGGCCACATCTAACTTTGGAATTTACTCTTGCCTCTGTATATCTAAACTTGTACATTTTTTTTATGTGCATATTTCAACTGGTTCTAGGACCTCTGCAGATACCAAAATCAGCAGATGCTTAAGTGTGTTATGTAAAATGGGTAGTATTTGCATATAACCCATACACATACTTCCATATAATTTAAATTACCTCCAAATTACTTATGATAGCTAATATAATGTAAATTTTATATAAATAGTTGTTATACTGTTTAGTTAGGGAATAATGACAAGAAAAATGTCTGTACATGTTTGATAGAGACACAATTTTTTTTCAAATATTTCTGGCCTATGATTGGTTGAATACATGCGTGAAGAACCTATGGATATGGAGAGCCAATTGTATTCTGCTTTATGGAGTAGCTAGACTATTACCTGGTAGAGCTGTGGTTTCAATCTGTTCATTTTGATTCCTTCTAAAATGGTGTTTCCAAGCTTGGTAGATGACAGTGTTTCTACTGTCATCCATTCAGGGGACAGATGCCCCTCAAATGAAATGGGCCATCAGTCTGATACAGAAAAAGTTCCAGGTGGGAGTAGAGGAAATATAGATTATTATTACTATTATCATTATTACTACTATGCTTTTCTGCAAAATATCAGGGGAGGACTCAAAGAGAAGTTGGTGATTAGTTGGGCCTGATAAGATTAAAGACTCATAACCTTCTCATGATCGTCAGTAAAGGACCCTCCATGG